GGTGGGCCCCGGGGCCGGCTCTGCCCTGGCCGGGCAGCGCTGCCCCCCGGCGCTGGGTTTGGGGTACGGGGGGGGGATGGAAGACCCCTCTGCTTGTGTCAGGGCTAAAGCTTCAAGCACAACGCGGCTTGGCCGAAGTTGGTGAAGTAGAGTGAGAGGGATATAGCTAAAGGCTCCCCGTGTGCGGCTGGTTTCCGACTACCTGTGTCTTCCTTCGCAGAAAGACCCAAATTGCCAGATAATTATACTCAGGACACATGGCAGAAGCTTCACGAGGCGGTGGGAGCGATACAGAGTAGCGTTTCTATTAAATACAACCTTGAAGAGCTCTACCAGGTAAGGGGCTTGCAAGGGATTATTTTTTTTTTCCAGTTTAACAGAAGGAAAATTAAGTGCTTTGGGTCTTCCACAGAGCTACATGCTTAGCACAGTGCCTTTGTTAAAAGCTGATTATGTTTTCTGAACTGTTTGCTCCATACTCTGCTTCTAGTCAGTTTGCAGATTTATATAGCAGCTCCTTGGCAAGTTACCAGGATCTGGGCCCATGAAAAAGCAGTTTATGTTGGGAGACACTGAAATCGGTGCCTGGACAGGGCTGAGAGTTAAGTGTCCATCTCTCCAATGCAGCGCCTACCCAAGATGCCAGGACTAGGATGGTGCCCTTGCTGAGTTACACAGATACATATTTTATTATGATTTATCTTCTGTACGTACTTTGGACTCTTGTGAATAGTAATGTTGAAATCTTTGGTGTTGTTAGATAATAGGAATTAGACTTCAGTATCAATGCCCTTTGGGGAATTAAAAAAGAAACTTGGTTGAGCAGGCAACAAACTGTCAGTCTGCCTGTGGTTCAGATCACTGTTGTTTTCGTAACGATCAGGGTCTTATTTTTTAATTAAGACGGTGAAAAAGTGTTTGTGTAACATCTCGACTATATGAGCAGGTGCTAGGAGTAGTAAAAGAGAGAAATACTCATGAGCCATTCCTACTTTCTTCATTTATATATGCCTTAGTTCTTTATTGTTTTAAACATGCATGCTTTGAGCTGTTTAACTGAAGTAGTAATTTTTATGATGATCGTGTTGTAAAAAATCACTGATGCGCCAAGTTGTGCTACATACATTAAGTTAGTTATGAGTTTTCTGTGGGTGCAGGTGTTTGATCTGCAGATTTGGATCTCGTTGCCAGAACAGGACCTGAGACATTATTATGCTTACCTGGTTTTCTCTTGATGTTCAGCTGAGGCAGGTTTGATGTTGTCTGCAAAGTGCAGACTGTGAGGGAAGAGAAAGCCAGAAGTCTATATTGGGTCCATTCTTCAGAAAATCAGGATGCATTTGAGAGCTAACTATCCTTGTCTCTTGTTAGGGGACGTAATATATGGGTCTAAAATGGCTGAGTATGTACATACTCGTTAATATAATTTACTTCCTTTAAATAGATGATTGACATGTTAATCTATTAATACTTGCAGGTTTGCAGAGTTTGAATTACATAATACATTTTATGGTTTTAAACTCAGCATTTGAAAAATCCTGCTTTTTCATGCCTAGATAAAAACAAAACAAAACCAGAAACAAACCCACAGATGCTGGGAGCATTACCTAACTTGTTTTCAGAGGCTCAGAAATGAGATTATAGTAATATGGCTATGCAATCGCCAGGGTACAGACTTGAGTTTTGGTGGGAGGGCAGGGATTTTAGATAAAATGCAGAGGGAGAAACTGTACTTCTTGCTTTTTCTGTTTGCCTGCTTGTTTGTCGAAGCTGCACAAGGCCAGTCCGATGGTCTGCAAGGCAGCGGTGCAGATCAGCAAGATTTCTGCACAGTGGGTGGTGGTGCTCGGCCTGCCCGCGCATCGATAGGTACTTACTCTCCTGCCAAAGGAATAAAAGATGAAGTTAAGCATCTGCTGGAAACCTGATCTGTACTTACAGATCATTTTATCTGCTTGTCGGTGAGCACCGAGTCATCCACAGGGGAAAATTTCTCTGTGTGCATCAGTTCTTAATATCACTGCTTGTTTGTTTGTTTGTTTGTTTTCTGGGTGTTTTGGGGAGGTTTTTTGTGTCTTTATCAGACAAGATGGGAGGAAGTGAGAGGCCTGCTGGGATTCAGTGTGGTGAGCTGGCTGGTGTACCAGCCTGCCTTTGAACTTTCTGATTACTTGCTTAATTTGGCACAGTGACTGGGGAAAAGCTGAAGAACAATGACAGGGCTTTGTGGGTAGCCTGAAGGATACTCCTTTCCAGGCATTAGAGGCAGCATGGGATCAGGCATGAAGGTGCTTGGCAGAGACGCAGCCAGTGAGCAATGGCAGGGTGGCAGCCAATTTTTTGTGACTAAAATAGAAATGATGTCGGGGATGGGTGGTGGATTGCACAGATTTTGATAGAGGTAGCTTGTGCTTGATGGGATAGAGAAAGTGGGGCAGTGCAAAGAATTTCCAAGTGAGGAGTGAGTGATAAAAATAATGGAAAAAGAAAACTCCCTTTGCAGCATCCTAAATAACCTGAAATGGGGCAGCACTGCCCTTCTGGAGGACACAGAGCAGGATGGTGTAGTAGTGAAGGAAAAAAAGTTGTGAGAGTCCTGACCAGGCTTTTATTTGAAGGATGTATGTACGTGAAGGGCTATGTCACAGGAAACAACAAACTATCCACAACATGATTTTGCATGAATACTGTGTGTTGCACATGTTATTTTACTTACCTGTTTTAAGAGCAGATGAAAAACATAAGCACTGCATGATGATTTTGTTTGTTTGCTTGCTTTAGTATGGGATCAAAATTGATGAAGCCATAGTTGATGTGCATTTAAATAAAATTACATTGGGTAGGTTAAAATCACCCCATGGGGAAATCTCTGGGAAACAAGTTAACTTGTGTTTTGGACACAAACTATTTGGAATGTTAGAACCGATAGAGGAAATAATACAAGAAGTAGCAATAATTTGCATGCTAAGCTCTAAAACAGCAGACTCTGCTCAAAACAAGCCATTAAAAGTGTGATTTGAAACAGATTTTTTCCTAGATTTCTGTACGTGAAGAGTATGAAAATGTTGTCTTTCTCATATCCTTGTAGAGGTGGTAATTACTGTAGCTTTTTTCCAGACTAGTTGTGTGTAAGATGAAGGCAAATCAGATTTCTTCAGAGAGGCAGCAAAAACTCGGAATGAAACAAAAGTTGAAGAAGAAGGAAATTATTGAACCTCCTGCCCCAATAAAAAAAAAAAAAAGGCAGAAGCAGCTAGTAGGGGTGGCACTGAGGTGACACAGCTGCAGTTTGAAACACACTTTAAGCCAGCACTGCTGCACAAAGAAGCAGCCTTGCTTTCCCTCTCACCTCTCTCCAAGTCCACACACTTGCTAGCCCATGTGTTTGGGTGGTCTTAAATTGAAACAGAATGAAGGACAGTTACTAATACTTTGTCGAAGAGTTACATGCTGGCATTAGGGACTATAATGTTTCATATTACAAAGAAATAAGACACTCAAAAAAAAAAAAAAAAGCTTAGGTTTGGGGAAAAGTGAGTAATGGCTGAGAAAATACTGAAACTTTGTCCAAGTTCATTGATGCTGTCAGAAAATTTGTCAACAAAATGTGACACTAGAAATCCTCTGGAGCAGAGGAAAATATTCTCAGGTCAGTTTTAGTTGCCCAGGTGAAACAGTGCTTTAAGTCTTAGGTTATGTTCTCTGCAGTATCGGTTCAAAGCATAAAGGCAGTTGAGGTGGAGTTAAAGGAAGAGACAGCTGGATTTTTAGTTATGAAAATAAGGTCCATCTCCTTTGGATGATTTTATATGAAGCACTGAATGGCCAAAACCGCTTAATGTAAACTTCACAGTTCTCACAGAACATTTGGCTGTCTTCTTTGTGATTCATTTCAAATGCTGTGGTCTATTAATAAAATAATTTATTGAAATACAGCAGACAAGTTAAAATAAAGTGTGCCTGGAACAAAATCTAAATATAGGCAGTGGTGTCAAGCAAGGCTACATTTTCTCTTTGGCATTCTCATTGAGTTTCTTGTGAGGAAAAAATGTTAGAGTAAGACAATGTAATTACTGTATAGCTGAACAGCAGTATTCTGGAGATGGCTAGAGCTGTCTCAGTGTAGTCTGGGTCAGCTGCATAAAAACTTGATTTGTATTAATTTCCTGGCCACAAGAATGTTTGGTTTGGGGCAGAACCAGTCTGTTAGCCAGCTGTGTATAAATACTTAACTAAATCCCATGAGTTCCCAATAAATCAATTCAAGTCTTTATTTAACGATTGATGGGGTGTTCTTTGTTTTTCTTTATTTTTTTCCACTGAGTTTACATACCTAAGCATGAATGTGTGAATCAGTGGAAGTATCTGGGAAGAAGTTACTAAAATGACAGGAAAACAGCTGTATTCATTTACTGTTTACAGAGAGTGGTTGAAATGTCTACCTGAAAGTTACTAAGAAATGAAAACATTTTGTATGATTGTGTTCCCTCCCCAAAATGCATGGGTGTGTGCACTAAAGGGTGCACAAAATGGACCTACAGGAAGAGTTCTGCTGGTGAGCAGTATTCATGGGAGGAAAATTCTTGTAAAGTTTAATGCAATGGTAGACCTTTTTTGTACAGAAAATTTGTCAATATAAGAATGTACCAAAATCAGAAAGGAATCATGAAGTCTTAATTTTTCTACATATTTTTGGATAATTTCATTTTTAGATTTTGTTTTTGTGCATAACTTGGACAGATAAATGCTGATTACTGTTTTCTTTTTTATTGTTGGCCTTGATTAAACAAGCAAAAAAAAATTGAGCTTTTTTATCTAAATATTTTTGTTTGTTTTTTAGGCTGTTGAAAATCTCTGTTCTTACAAAGTCTCTGCTACACTGTACAAACAGCTACGACAAGTCTGTGAAGATCATGTGAAAGCACAAATCCTTCAATTTAGAGAATATCCTTTTTTCATGCACAGAAGTGGTTAGAATGGTTAGTTTATATAATTATTTTAAAACAACACTTTGTGAAATTTGCACCAGTAATTGCTGATGTGTTAGAGGTTCTTTTTTGACCACTTACCTATTTTCAAATCAGGAATAAGCAACTTCAGTTATGTGATTAATAATTTTTGTGTGCAGGTAAGTAGCATGCTAATAACAATTTACTTATCCTTTTAGCAGGAAT